GCTATAGACGTCTATATTATGACACTCCTGGTTTTATTAGGTGGCTAATCAAGCTTCCATGCGGTTGCGATGATTTATTAGCTAGCACTGACCACGCGATTGCAACCGTCGCAGTTGTGTCGGATTGGTAATCTCGTGACTGCGCCATCGTGATGTACGACAAAGATAGCATGAGTGCATCCTCTGTCATTTACCCTCTGTCATTTACTACTGATGTAGCTGCTATTGCCGGTGGAGTACATCTGAGTGAAATGGAGCGAGAGACGTTTATTTTTGACGACTTATGGGGTTAGTCTTCGCGACTCTAACGTAAAGGGTGGGTTAATGAGATCATAGAGAGAGATTATGAGTGAGTGCATATCCGCGTAGTATGCATATATATATATATATATATCAGAATCGATTTGCACTACGCATCCTAATTATTAATTTGCAATATCATTTTCACATTGAAACGCCAAGTTTACGAGTATTTGAAGGATATTTTCAATCCGGATTTTTATAAAGTGTCAGATGTTTTTACTGTGAGATGACTCACGAAACAAAAACCCATGAGGACGTAATGCGTTCCATCTGTATTATGAACAAAATTGCCTTTTCATCTTTTAATTAATGAGACACTGAACAAGGTCATAATTGCCCTTCTTCTATCCGAAACTCGGTGGCACGATCAGAATAAATGGAAACCTTTTTTTATTAGATTCCCCCCGCCCCCGATGATTTGCGATGTTTAAGGGCTGAATTGTTCCATTAGTTCATATTTATAGGCAATTATGAATGGAAATTTAAATGGGAATTAAGAAACTATGACGGGGCGATGGCGATGTGAAGATGACATGACTGTGCGCCAAGCAGTTACGATTACCGTGCATGTATACAACATTACAGTGTTAATGAAACATGGGCAAGCATCGGTATTGTCATTAAAGCTAGCGTATCATTGGAAAAGTTCCATCTGACTATCACAGAGGCACATCGATCATTAATCAATTTTCCTGTTCACGCGTAATACAATATACTGTAACTCGACATGCAATACTGTAGAGAAATCATACTCGGACTATATGCGCCTAACACGTGCTGCCACGCACGTATTCCAAAGGAAAATTTACGATAGAGAAAAAGAATTTACGATAAAAATAGAAATAGAAACTACCAGTGTTACTCCATCAATGTCTCAAATACTATATGATCCCTAATGCTACTGATTAACCCTCATATGGTACGCTGCACAATGCTAGTGTCAGTCCACTCACTCACAGCCTATCTTCCCGCCATATCGAATGACGTGAAATCACACGAAAACCCCTCATCGAGAAATTCTAGCCAAGCGTCACGAGCAACAGCATCTACGGAACACTGAGAAAATCAGTTACCGATATTCGACCGATCTATAATTTACTGAGACGTTAGGGGCTGGGAGAGTTTTTTTCTAGAAATGCTCACCTTTCTTGAAAGTTGAATGTCAGAGAGACAGCCTTCTGTCCGGGACATTTCGTCGGCTGTGCGTCAAGGTCTGCGTCGTCGTTCGTCAGGGAGGCTTTCTCTGTCGTCGTCGTCGTCGTCGGCGGTAGCGCGCATCTGTGAACGGGAGGGCTGAGTTCCTTCGTCTTCTTCTTCAGCCGTAGACTACTGCTCAGCAACTTTGTGGCATCTCCGTTCTTCGTGTCCTGCGTGCGCGCGATTATACGAAATATATATTGTATAATAGCAATTCATAATAGTAGTTTTTGCAGTAAAAATATTATAAATAATAGTAGTTTTCATTCACTCTTCATATTATTGTAAAGTAAGAAGTACGAAGTATAGGTATTAGTGTGAACATTTATGCTATATATAATCCGCCGTGCGATCTATCGTACGTCCGGCATTATGTTAACGGTAATATTGAAAAGCGGCGAGAGAGAGAGAGAGAGAGAGAGAGAGAGAGAGAGAGA